TATTGAATATTGATAATGAATTGAGTTTTATAATAATCACAAAACTCTTGTGATGATTTGTATACTAGTCAAAGTATAGTTTGAAATTAATGATAAATTTTTTGCAGAAAAACTATTATATTCTGTCAATAATTTAACAATGGAATATAATATATAGATAAAATTCTTAATCATTAAAATTTTATTCAATAGAATATATCATTTTAATAGAAATTATAAAATTCTTTTTCTATTTCTTCATGATTTTTAAGTCATTTTAACTACGAAATCATATTATAATTAATTAGAATATATATAAATCATGACTTTAATGAGATTTTAGAACTTTTTAATTGATATTGCCATTCTATTAGGAATATCATTTCGATATAGGGCACAGCCAGAGAAACCTGTGTACCTCCTTGGTCAAAAAACACCTGAAAGAAGTACGGATGAAAGTCGTTCTCGCAAAGTAAAAAAAATCATTTTCTTACTGGTTTACACCGCTTGGAAAATTCCTGGCTACACCCTTGTTCTGATACCCATGGTATTACTTAATGCCTTTTTCCCCAGTATAATTTTGGATTATTTCAAATATATTCTAAATAATCTAATGCACATGAATTAATCAAATTATCTGCAACAATCATTGTTGCACATTTAATTAATCCAATATCTTCAAATATGTTTTTAATCATACAGCAAAAATCTCTACATTGTGAACATCATTGGAATCGATGAAAATCGTTCAGTATAACAGAATGTTCATAAATGAGGGAAGAGGGCCAAGCAAATATAAATCAAAATATCACTTCTACCATTTTTTTGCTTCCTTTTACGCACTTTTTATTAAATAGTTTTTGACTTTTAGTACTTTGAATTTTTTTAGATTAGTTTCATTATCAGAGTAATATATTCATTGGTTTTTTTCTTTTAAGAATATTTGATACAACATTGATAGAGACTTAAAATTTATCTCCTAATTCATGATAAGATAAACCAAGTTCTTTATCTTTGATTAAATTCATTTTGTTGCTCTAAATCAAGAGTATTGCAAGGTGTCATATCTAATAGAGAAAAGTTGAGAAACCGTTCAAAAAGACAACGATATCTGTTTGTTCATACTTTTTCTTTTTGCTTTCATTGAATTAAATCATAGAGCCAATTAATCTTAATACATACAGACGGGATCAAAAAAAATGTGTTGACCATCCGGATCAAAGGGTGTTCATAAAAGAGAGGTGCAAAATCAGAAAAATTCGCTCTGAAGGATCCGAGAGAGTGTTCAATAATACATAGTGTTCACTGAGAAAGGTTTTTCTGTACTTCATTGTAGTGATCGATTAAATCCAGTGTATCAGTATTGAAATCTTTGTTCAAATGATGAATGACATCTTTCTTTCATCATTCATTATTTTTACATGATTAGTCACACTAGTATATTCATGAATAGAATGAGCAATTGCAACTAATTGAGAATTTAATTAAAACTGTAATGAAAAACGCATCAGCTGGTTATTAAGAGAAATCATTCTCAATGAAATATAATCATGAAAAATGCCGAAGAAAAACAAAAAAGAATAAATTGTTTTTTCACTCTTTCGAAGAAAAATTCAGAAGACTTTTATTTGATATTTCGCTTTTTTTTCTTAGTGAAATTTTTTTTTGCTGTCAACATAGTAGGTGAAAATTATTGCTGATTTAGTTTTTATTTCTTCTTTAATATTGCTTATATCCCTGTTCGGAGAAAATGTTTATTGAAATAGCTATTTGTAAAAAATATAGGATGTTCCGTTTAGAGTTATAATCGATCCGATCCGGCTGATCTTCATCGGTTGAAAAATATTTTATGGATACAGTAAAGCTTTTACTAGTGAACATCTCCTAATTATGAACAGTTTCGAATCCGATGGAGCAATTTCTGCTGGACATGCCTCTCCCTAATGTGAACACCCCGTTATTCTGAACAATGAACTTTTTTTTGTTTTGGGTCCCTTTTTGCTATGATAACATCTCTAATGTGATTATATTGTTTTGACCTCCTTTTCTTTTCGGTCACCTTTTTCTTACGCAGTACGAGTAAATATATTGTGTGTATGATGCGACGTTGTACGTATGAAGTAAAGAATGACATGACGATGTGACCTTATTCTGCAAGAAAAAATACTATTAATTCATGATAATAAAGATGGTAGTAGTTTATGACAATGTAAATTGACTGAAAAATATAATATATTATTCGGCTTTATATTAAACATTTTAAAACGTAAGACGGAATATTTAAATGATTATGAAACAAGTGAGAATTAAAGTATTAAATGAAAACTAAAAGATGTTAATGTATAAAAACTAGACGATCAGTTGTATGAATGATTTGTATAGTAATGTGCAAAAAGACAAACAATATCAGAGAAATTTTTTAAACAACAATTAGGTGTTGTGTTATAATTAAAAAAACCTTTCATTCTAAATCGTTCAAATGAAAATAGATAAATAAGAGAATGAACAATCAGGTCTTTATCTACGACTAATATAGAAATAGATTTCCTCGAACCTTTCCTTTATTTCATAGCAAACTATGCTTCAAATCTCTAAAGTGAACACTTTTGAATGGTCTCTATGGTGTTCACTAAAGAATAGTTTTACTGTATACTATGTTTTTTCTCTAATAAAATTTGTTGAGAGCAAATGTTTCTTTTATTAAAAAACACAATCAAAGCTGCATTACTTGGGTTAAGCTTATATCATATATATTTTAATAAAAAACCAAATTTAGTTCTAGATCGTCATTCGAAGAGAGAAACGTTGGGTTTGTCTGAAAAAGCTGAATGAGAAAATTCAAGTTTTATAGTTTAGCAATCAGTTAAGAGGTAAATAGCTGCTCTTTTTCGCGTTATATACAGAGATATCACAAAAAATATGTCCTCATAAGTTCTGATTTCTCAATGAAAATTAGTTAATATGTAAACAAAGAATGATCTATACTTAATTATATCTCTGTGAACTTTGAATACTTATGACGATGTTCTTTGTTATAGACAGAAGAAACGTGTTATAATTAAAACCCTGAAATCAAATAGTATTTTTTTAATAAGTTTTAATCAAAATTGAAATCATCGTATGTAGTGTAACACAATTATACAAAATGATACGTGGGGTATGGATGTGACTATCTTCTGTACTCACACCCCTAATTATCACGTTTGTTCTGTTTATAACACTATTATTAAAAAAGAACGTCGTCATAAGTACGCGAAGTTCATATAGACATAGTTGAGTAAGGACTACTCTTTGTTTACATATCAACTAATTCTCACGGAGATTCACAATTTATAAGATACCCTTTATTCATCTTTGAAAAACCTGAACAGATATAAACGACTATAATAGGATTTGTATAAGTCTGAGTAAAAAAAAAGGAAAAGAAATGTTTTTTTTTTGAAGTCATTCCGATTAATCCATTAATAATAATCCAACAAACTGGTGGGCTGAACTAGTTAGAAAATTCTTGTCTGGCTACAACTCTTGTTCCATTTAGTTCAGAAAAGCTTTAGATTCAAGCAAGTGTGTTTTATTAGTAAATCTCAAAACATTATACTTGAAATTGATTACAGTAGAACAATAATGACATATTAATTGCTGGTGAGCAATTCAGAAAATTTAACAAGTGTGTATATCCAATTCGAGGGCGAGTTTTTATTTGAATAACTTGATCAAGAATTTTTCTTTGTCGATGATCGATATTGACCAATCATTATTTTATCTAATCGAAGTTAATAGTATTTTGAATATCATTTTGATGACCATTTTATTAAACATGATTTTTCATTATACAATGATCAAATAACATATATTGAACTTTTCATTTTTGAAATTCATTCATTCTATATATATAAAAAAAAACAACATTTAAAAGTACTTAAACTATACAACTCTTTAATATCTCATCCAATGGTTTGAAGATAATAAAAGTCATTTTACAACGATAGATCTGAATGACACATAGACATGTTTTTTTTTAGTATTTTGATGACAGCAAAAACATTTTTGCATAAACATGAATATTAAATGAATAACTGATTTATTAATACTATGATAAAGCCAATGATGTGTTATGATTTTTTTTTCCTATTTTGAATCCTTTAATGATCTTTTTTTTTCCTAGCTAATCAAAATCTTTCTGCGCATTTTTACGATTTTTCGTATGTCATTCTAACCCTAAGCTGGAATAGTTTATGCTATTCTTATCAATCTGAAGATATTTTATTGCCATTCATGCATGTTGTTAACTCTTTTGATAGTTACCGATTATTATTGATATATGATAAGACTTCTATTAGATAAAAAGTTGTATGGCTTATTTACATATTCTTTTTTTTTGCCGCAAGAATAAACATCCAATGAACATCAAAGAAAAAAAGAGAATATATTATTCGTTTGTTTCTCGAAAGATTTTCTGTATAAAGAAATAAAAATAACTTTTTTTGATATTGATCATGTATTTTTATATAAATGAAAAATCAAAAAAATTTATATATATAAATGTTTATATCCTTCTTCTTTTTTCATTATTAAATAGTTATAAACTATGATGATGCACTCAAAAGACTTTTATAAAGTCCATTGCAAGAGAAATGACTATTTTTTTGACTTTCGCCTGTTGAGCGCAAAATAACTTTTCGTCACAACTGCCATTAATCAAAACTTTCCATTCTTGCATCATATTGTACAATAGAGATCATCTTTCTATACTATATATTTTCAGAACTTATTTCCTATCTACAAGAAACAGAGAAGATTTTTGTTTCTTCAGAAAATTATTTTGACCCATGTCAAGATTTATTTATAGCTTAATAGTCAAAAATTACAGAAAAATTCTAAATATATATTCTGAAAGAATAGAAATTTCTGCTTCAATATATTTTAAATACGAGAAAAAAAACAATAGGAAAATATTATATCTAGAAATTTTTAGGTCACTTTTCTTATTTGTATGTATAACATTTCAATGTATAAATTTCTTATTTTCGAATTGATATTTCAATACCATCATCTAAATCTTCTCGATATTCAATTTTTCCTGGATAAAATGTTGATGTATAATTTGGATTATTTCGAACATATTCTAAATAATCTGGTACACCTGGTCGAATAACATTATCAGCAACAATCATTGTTTTACTTTTAATTAATCCAATATTTTCAAGCATTTTAAAATCACGTAAATATGCATCTTTCCAATGATCGATAAATATAAAATCAAATGAATCAATATTAAAATTTTTACTTAAATTAGGAATAACATTTTCTGTATAATCATTAATAATTTTTACACGATTAATTACACCAGCATATTCAAGAATAGTACGAGCAATTTCAGCAGATTGAGAATCAGCTTCAATTGTAATCAAAAGAATATCATCTGGTAATTGAGAAATAATTCTCAATGCACTATAACCCAGAAAAGTACCTAAGATTAAATACCAATAGATTTTTTATTTATGTAAACAAACAAAAAAATAAATAAATAATACCAAGTTCAAGAATAGTTTTTGGTTTTCTTATTTGAATAGCTTGATCAAGAATTTCTCCTTTTCGATCACCAATATTCATTAACCAATGTTTAGTCCAACCATAACGATCAATTGTATCAATTATATTTTGAATATCACCTTGACGAGCATTTTGTAAAACATAATCTTTTAAATCTAAACGTGAAGCAAGCATTTTTTCCATTAATGCTGAAGAAAAATCTTCTGTCACTTTAGTTAAATTCATTTGTATGTTAGTCAATCTATGATGAACTGTTTAATAAACAAAAGAACAACCAATCGTCTTTTGTTAGAAAAATTTATGCGTTGTCAGTATAAATCAATGTTAATATTTACTATGTGATCTTATCCTAGATAACGTACTATTTTTTTTTTATCATGGTAATGCATATTTTGTTAAGGTTTGTTTTCTTTCTTTTCTTGTTCTATTTTTTGCGCGATGTATTAATCTGTATTTGAATTCTATACTGTGATATGAGAATTTTTTTCTTGACTTTAAATTAATCTTTTGTAATTAAAAGTTAATTTTTTTCATTATTAAATTGTATCGATCTAATACTATTTGAATTTGAATTTATTTTAAAGATTTCTTTTGTATGGCTTTTATTTTCAACCTTTCATAATAATAATAATAATAATAATAATAATAATAATAATAATAATAATAATAATAATAATAATAATAATACATATTTAATAAATTTTAAAGAAGAGATAAGATAATATTTTATCTTTCATTTCAAGCTTATTAATTCAATAAATACCTCTGAAAAATATTATATTCATAAAAACAAAAAAAGAATTAAATAATAAAGCTTCGATGATAATATATATATATAGTCGTTATTTATTAAATTTAATGAAACAAGTCAAAAATTCCCAAATACGATTTTTTTTCAATTTTCATGAATATCGATCAATCATGAGGAAAAGAATTTGACTAGTAGTAAATATAAATTCTATCTTATACGTTTCGTCCAAGTTAACAAAACGAAATTGAAGGAAAATAATCAATTAGAAGTATTTAACAGATTTATTTTGTACGGGAATTTTTATTAACAAAATAAGAAATAATTATATTAAAAAAATAAGTATCGGAATCTTAATAAAGTTATTATTTCCAATTTAAAATGTTCACTATATTATGGAGATTATTTTTATATACAATTTTTTTCTTTATGAAATATTTTTGTATAGTTTGAATTATTTTGAATATATTCTAAATCATCTGATGCATAATGAATTAATAATATCATTCAAAACAATCATTGTTCCATATTTAATCAATCCAATATTTTAAAATCATATAAATTTACTTCATTGTAATGATCGATAAATGTAAAATTCAATCAATTAATATTAAAAGCTTTGCTCAAATAAGGAGTAACATTTTCCAGATGATTATGATTTTTCTAGCATGACACACACCAGCAAAGTCATGAATGGAACGAATGATTTTGACTGATTGAGAATGTACTGGAATTGTCATGAAGAAAGCATCATATGATAATTGAGAGACAATTCTGAATAAACTATAACCATCAAAAGTTTCTAAGAGAAAAAAGAAAGTAGGAAATCAATTTCTAGTGATATAGAAAATTATACCGAATTTGAGAATAGACTTTTTTTTGTTTCTTGACGACCTGAAATTTAAGTTTGTATACGTATGTCAATAAGAATTTCCGAGAATACCACTTTTAAAATAATAGTCATATTGATTGCATTTCCAAGAATAAAATCTATAAATTTTATTGTATTCATTAAAAATCATTCTATTGATTTTTATATTTCTTATAAATAGATTTTATAGTCGCATTGTATATTACGTAATATAAAATGACATAAATTCATTCAATATCAAACAATAGCGACATCTCGTTGAATTGTTCAGCTATTTGCCATATCGATTGTACCATTCAGATATACTTTACCATGTCATTCTTTTCCTTCAATAACGACAATAAAATAAAACAAAAAAAAATTTTTTTTTTAATCCTTGACATTAATGAAATAAATATCCATTTAATATTAATATAATAAGTAAGTAAGATTTTGTTTATTTTTTAATTATATTAACAATCAATAAATTGTGTAGTTGATTCGTCATTTAATGTTGTATTTAAACGATAACCTAATACAATAGATTGTTCACGATGTTCAACATATGTTATTTGTATAAGATCAAGAATTGAACGATTACCAATAATTAAATATCGTTCACGTAATTGATCAAATTCTTTTATATTAGATAAATTTATTTCATATATTAACGGACGTTTTATATCACGAAATAATCGTTCATATGGAATATGTTGTTCTGTACATATACGTTCAAGTTCATCAATAATCAATGTTCGAACTTTGGACTAGAGAAAAACGAAAAAAAAATATTTTAATAAAGAAATTCTTTTATTTTGTAATTTTAAAATATTGAATATGATGATAAATAGAAAAGATTAATAAATTCCATTAGGTTATCAAATATTAAATCATAATAGCTGAGTGAACCAAAAAATAAATATAATAGTAGGGTTAATCTTAATCTTTGATCTTATCTTTTATTAATATATTGAAGTCATAGAAATATTCATTATTTGATGTTGACGAAAAATAGCAAATGAATAGTAGATCATAAAAGATATGACTAAGCTAATGGGAATATATTTTCCTAAAAACTTAATTGATTTTTTTTTTATAGATAATATTGATATATTCTTGTTTTTGTTTTCATTTTGCTTGTCACTGAAATATATTTTGAGAAGAAACATTTTGTTTTTTTCTTTAAAACGGAAATAGTCTTAAAAGCTTTATGACAGATATTGTTTAAAATAAACTATATAGGAAAATATATAACGAGAATTTCTTTTTTTTTTTTTTTTTTTGTTTTTTACCTGAACACAAAATCGGAATGCTTTTGATAGACGATTAAGTGATTTTATTTGAATATTATTTATCATAAATTGTATAGTTTGATGATGATTATTTAAAATAAGTGCAATTATTTTAATATCAAAACTAATACGAAAGCGTATAAAATGATGATCATGAAAATTAATATGAAATACAAATTGTATACCATCTTCATGACAAAATAAATCTTGAAAAGATTCATCTTGATTTATTTCACATAATATACGTATTCTTCGTCTTATTAAATCTTCATCAATACAAATCCGATCATTACGAAATTCAGTCAAGAATTCATTTGGAAAATTTAATGTTTTTAATAATTGAACAAGTGTATTCTTATTAATAAAAAATTGTGTAGCGATTTGTGTAAAAATATTCATTGATCTAATAGAAAATTTAATAGAAGACAAGCAGAAAAAAACGCATAGAGTACAAATAAAAAGCACAAAACAAAAATGACAGAGAGACATCGATAGGAAACTCGACAAGAGAAAGAAAAAAAAGGCACAATAGTGACAGTTTGCATTCCTTCAGCAATGAATGAACGCAATGCAGAATAATAAGTAGAAAGAGGAAAGAAAAAAGAAATGACGGTTGTGACGAATTGCTTTTTATTTGTAATACGAGGGTTATAATATTTTTGCTGTTTGCAGATTGTCAAATAACATATGCATAATAAAATCTCGGAATCAATCGAATTCGATCATGATAATAGATCGATACGTAAATCAAAATCAACTTCAAATCTTTCCGTAAGTTTATTCACTAAATACTCTCTTATGAACAAAACAAAGAAAAACAAGAAGTAAAACGAAAAAATGTTTTTTTTTCTCTAGGTTATATCGAAGAAAAAAATGAGTAATATTCCATCAGCTAAAATCGAAGTTAATGTTGACAATAAATTAGAAGTATAGTTGTTTTTTTTTTCTTTTTTCTTCAATTTTATCAAACAATCTAATATAATTTCTTTTTTTTTATTAGATTAATAAATCATCACCAACAGGAAATAAAATCAATGGAAATACGTAGGAAATAGAGAAAAAAAAAATCATTTTACTTAATTAAATTTTTTTTTACTTAATCATATAGTTCACCTAATCATCGTCGTCGTCCAAAACGTACATCAATAAATAATAATTCATATCTATCAACTATTTCTAGTGTACATGAATTAATGTCATTTGTTATTTATAAAGGTATATTTAGATATTTTCTTATATTTTTAATCTAATTAATCGATATTTTTTCTTCTTCTTTATCTAACAGATAATCCACCATTATGGTTAAAACAAACAGATTTATATAAAGAATATACAAATAAATCTCAACAAATTAATACTGAAAATTTATCATCATCAATATCTTCTCCACATTATCATCAACAATTACATCGTAAACAACGTTCTAATCTTCAAATGTATGCACGATCAAGACAATCATGGCAATCATTAACATCTCCACCATTAATAAATACATCTATAGATAAACATTCAAATGAATCAATAAATAAAATAAAACATGAAACAAATATATCTCCTATAAATTCATCATTATCATTATCATCATCATCATCATCAATGATTGATTTATCAATACCATTAAATATTTCAATTAAATCAGAACCTATTGAACAAAATTCAAGTTTAATATCAAATAAATCAAAAAAATTAAAACAACCAACATCAACTATAACAACAAGAAGACAACATATGTTATGTAAGAAAAAAATTTCTCAAAATAGTTTACGTCGTCATCAACGTATGAACAGTGTAGAAAGTCAAGGTAAGAAGAAAAAAGTAGGATATTTTTTTAAATTATCATTTACATGTCTAGGAAAATTTTTGAACTTATTTGAAACAAAAGAAAATCATTTAAATTAGTTCAATTTTTTTTTTCCTAGTGAGTTCTATGTGTTATTTATGGAAATAATGAAAAGAAGAAGTGTGTAAAATGTGTAAAAAAAAAATATAGAGAGAGAAAAGGAATTGTTAATTGGACCATTCTATTAAATAAATTATTTTGAAGTGTTATACAGGAAATTATATTGCATGTTAAATATTTCAAAAAATATTATAATTACTTTTCTATGAATGAATTTTGATATTATTATTATTGAGATGATGTCTACTTTTGAATAATTAGAATTAATGTTCTTGATTCAGATTAAAATTTGAAATCGTTTTTTAAGATTTATTAACAATTGAGATATGATACAAAAGTTTGTTTTTTTTATAAATTGAAAATATTACATCGATCTAATGAATCTTTTTGATTATTATAAACTATATTTGTAACCCTCGCATTAGTAGAAATGGT